AGCCACATCTTTAAAATAGTAAAAGGAAAAAAAATGTGTACACACACACACACACACACAATCAACCTAGAGTTTCTAGTAATATATCCAGCAAAAGTAGTGCTGCAAAACAAAGACCAATTAAAGACCTGTCCAGTAAGCTAAAAGAATTCCTTACCTGTAGACCTGCACTATGAGAAATTTAAATGACATAGTTTAAGCAGAAAAGAATGATATCAGAAAGAAACAGGAATTTACACAAAGGAATGAAGAGTACTGAAAATGGTAACTACATGGATTTTTCTTAATATAAATCTAATTAGAAATCTCTATATTTATATAAAAGATAATTGCCTAGGCCGGGCGTGGTGGCTCACCTCTGTAATCCCAGCACTTTGGGAGGCCAAGGCAGGGGGATCACCCAAGGTCAGGAGTTTGAGACCAGCCTGGCCAACATGGCAAAACCCCATCTCTTCTGAAAATGCAAAAATTTGCCAGGCATTGTGACGCATGCCTGTAGTCCTAGCTACTCGGGAGGTTGAGGCAGGAGAATTGCTTGAACCCAGGAGGCGGAGGTTGCAGTGAGCCGATATCACCCGATATCACTGCACTCCACCCTGGGCAGCAGAGTGAGACTCTGTCTGAAAAAAAAAAAAAGATAACGGATTAAAGAACTGATAATGATGAACTACAGGGATTGTAACATGTAAGAATAAAATATATTAAAAAGTAGCACAAAAGTAAGGAAGGGAAGAACAGAAGTACAATGTTATATTGTTGTATGTGAAATGCAATGCTATGTCTTGAAGGTAGATTGTAGTAAGTTTAACATGTATTCTATAAATCCTAAATCAAACACTAAAATAATGGAATTACAGCTAATAAGCCAATGAAAGCTATGAAATAATATAATAAAAGTATACAAAAGAATACAGAAAATGAAAAAAGGGAAATAACAAGACCACAGGTTTAAATTTAACCATATTAATAATCACATTAAATGTAAATGGTCCACATACCTTCATTCAAGTACAGAAATGTTATATTGTATTAAAAGAGCAAATGCCATTTATATGCTGCCTGAGAGAAGTGTACTTTAAATATGAAGACATAAATCAGTTAAACGTAATGGGATGGAGAGAGATATACCATGCTACCATAAATGAAAAGAAAGCTGAAGTGGCTGTAATAATCAAAGTAGATTTCAGGGCAATGAATATCGTAGATAAAGACAGTCATTTCATAATGATCAAACAGTAAATTAATGAAGAAGACATATAGTACTAAATATGTATATTTATAATAAAGCTTCAAAATACTTAAGGCAAAAATGATAGAACTATAAGGAAAAATAAGTAAGTCTACAGTTTTTGTGGAAGATTTAAATACCTCCCCTTTTCAATTGTTGATAAAACTATAGACAGAAAGTTATTAAGAATATAACAGATTTGAGTAATACTATCAACCAATTTGACCTGCTTGACATTTATAGAATACTCCAGAAACAGCAGCCTACACATTCCTTTCAAGTGTACATTGAACATATGCCAAGGTAGACTGTATTCTGGGTTATAAAATAAGTCTTGATAAATTTAAAAGTATTTGGCCAGGCACAGTGGCTCACATCTCTAATCCTAGCACTTTGGGAGGCGGAGGCAAGCAGATCACCTCAGGTCAAGAGTTCAAGATCAGCCTGGCCAACATGGTGAAACCCTATGTTTACAAAAATACAAAAATTAGCCACACATGGTGATACACGCCTGTAATCCCAGCTACTCAGAAGGCTAAAACAGGAGAATTGTTTGAACTCGGGAAGTGGAGGTTGCAGTGAGCCAAGATTGCACCATTGCACTCCATCCTGGGCAACTAAGCGAGATGCCATCTCAAAAAAAAATAAGTATTTGTGTCATACGAAGTTTTCTGACCATACTGGAATTAAAAACCAGTAACAGAAGGGTCTCAGGAAAATCCCCCAAATATGCTGAATTTTAAAAACATACTTTTCAGTAACCCATTTGTCAAAGAAGAAATTTAAAAGGAAACTAGAAAGTGTGTAAGGAAGAAATCATGCCAATCTATACAAATTTTTCTGGAAAACTGAAAAGGAAGAAATATTTCCTACAAAACTAGAAAATGTAATTACAAGCAAAGAAAATTACAGACCAATATCCATCATAAACATGTAAAAATTATAAACTAAATTTTAGCCAATCAAATTTAATGATTTATACTCATACGTGTATACACATATGTGCACACACATGTATCCTTTACATGCATGTATAAATAATAATATTAATACATAATGACGAAGCATGGTATATCCCAGGTTGTTTTACATTCAGAAATTGGTCTATCTAATTCACTATGTTAATAGATTGAAAAAAATCACATGATTATTTCAATAAATGCAGAAGAAGCACTTAACAAAATCCATTATTTATTCCTAGTAAAAATTATCAGTAAAATAAGAAGAATAGGAATTTTCCTCAAACTGTAAGAGGAATCCATGAAAACCTACAGCTAATATCATAGTTAATCGTGAAACACTGAATGTTTTGTGCCTAAGATCAGGTACAAGACAAAGATGTCTTCATTCGTGTCCTCTTTCACTATTGTACTTGAAATTCTAGCTAGAAAAAGAATAGAAGACAGCTGGAAAGGAAGAAGTGAAACTGTCTTAATGCATGGATGACATGACCATTTCTGTAGAAAAGTTGATGGAATCTACAAAAAAGCCATTAGAACTAGTAAGCATCAAAAAAATTAAAATACATAGGGATAAATCTGTTATAAACATGTGAAAGACCTGTATGCTGAACACTGCAAAGCATTGCTGAGAGAAATTACAGAGGACCTAAATACAGAGAAACATAATATTGTTCATCATGGTTTGGAAGAGTCAATATTCCAGATATCAGGTCTCCCTAAATTGATCTATATAATCCTAATCAAAATCTCAGCCAGCTTTTCAAAAAATAGAAATTGACAAACTGATTACAAAATACATTTGGAAATGCAAATAATCTAGAACTACTTTGAAAAAGCAGCATCTTTATTTATAATAACCCCAAACTGGAAGCGACCTAAATGGTTTAAAAAAAAAAAAAAAGAGCTGTGATTAGATCATATAACGAATACTATCCAGCATAAAAGGAACAAAACTATTATGCAACGATGTGGATGAATTGCAAATACCTTATGCTAAATGAAAGAAGTGGTCTCAAAGACTACACACTATATGCTTCCATTATGACATTCTAAAAAAGGCAAATCTTTAACAGTGGAGAACGTTTCAGTAGTTGCCAGGGTTTGGGAATTGGGGAAAGAACTGATACAGGAGTTACTTGAGGGAATTTCTAGGGGTGTCGGAATAGATAAATTTTTGTTATGGTGTTTACAAATTTCTATACCTTTTTCAAAAGTAATAGAATTCACTAGGCATGGTGGCACATTCCTGTAGTCCCAGCTACTTGGGGGACTGAGGCAGGAGGATAATCTGAGCCGGGGATGAGGCTGCAGTGAGCCTGTGATCACACCACTGCACTCCTGCCAGGGAAATAGAAAGAGACTCTGTCTCAAAAAGAAAATTATAATTAAAGACAGACGATGTGCATTGTAGAAGGTGAGGTTATCTCATGTCTCTCTTTGCTACTCCAGTTTATTGTCTGATATTTGTACTTTTTGTTTTACATATTGAGCTTGTGTAAGGATTTTTTAGAAGAAAAGGTTTATGCTGGGTGTGGTTGCTCATCCCTACAGCCGCCGAGGTGGCAGAATTGCTTGAGGCCAGGAGTTTGAGACCATCTTCAGCGACATTGTGAAACCTCCCACCTCTACAAAAAAAAAAAATTGTTTTAATTAGCTGGATATGTTGGTACATGCCTGTAATCCTACCTACTTTGGAAGGCTGAGATAGGAGGATCGCTTGAGCCCAGAAGTTTGAGGCTGCAGTGAGCTATGATTGTGCCAATACACTCCAGCCTAGGCAATGAAGCAAGATCTTGTTTCTCCTAAGGAAAAAAAAAAAAGACAAGGTTTAGTTTTCTTTATCAAAGAGTTTACGGTTTTAAAGTATTGCTGAATATAAGGACTGCTTCCACATATTTAAAGGCAGAAGACCCTGCTGACAGCACTAAACAGATCAAGGCAAAAAACTAACAATACATTAGCTTCCACATTAGATCTGAACCTAACTATTGGAAGAAGAATCATTTCTCATGATAGCAGTGAAGTATGACATACTACTAATCAGGAAGGTAAGAGCATTGATTAGACAAAGGAACCGTGAAAAAGTTATCAGAATTAAAATTTAGCCAAGTAATAAGGTTTACGTGAAGCTCCTCCAGTTTCATTTAAAAATCTCTGGCTTAACATCAAAAATGATGAGTTTGTGTCCTCTGTAGGGACATGGATGAACCTGGAGACCATCATTCTCAGCAAACTGACACAAGAACAGAAAATCAAACACCGCATCTTCTCACTCATAGGCGGGTGTTGAACAATGAGAACACATGGACACAGGGAGGGGAGCACTACACACTGGGGACTGTTGAGGGGAATAGGGGAGGGACAGTGGGGGGTGGGGAGTTGGGGAGAGATAGCATGGGGAGAAATGCCAGATATAGGTGAAGGGGAGGAAGGCAGCAAATCACACTGCCACGTGTGTACCTATGCAACTATCTTGCATGTTCTTCACATGTACCCCAAAACCTAAAATGCAAAAAAAAAAAGTTTCAATAAATTTAAGAATGCTTATAAATTAAATAAATAAGTAAAAATCTCTGGCTTCAAATAAATTTTTAAAAATTAAAGACAATATTAGATAAGTTTGAAAATTCAAAGCAAAAATCTTAAAGAACAAAATAATTTATTTATGATTATCAAATAGGCTTTTAAAAATATGTTAAATACTATAAAATGACCTCATAACCTGGCTTTACTTTTTTTACTCACATTTAGAGAAAATCTTGAAACAATACATCAGACATGAAAATAATATCGTGTCATTTCATTTACAGGTCTGCATTACATTTACTGAATTTGGAAAAATGCAAAATATATGTAACTTTCTTGTTGAAAAGCTAGATAGCTCTGTTGTCATCAGCCCACCCCAGTTCTATCATACTCCAGGTTCTGTTGAGAATCTTCGGTAAGTTTAAGCACATCTTTGACTAAGTTATTCTTTAAACAAAACTATCCAGTGCTACATTTCATTGAGTGTCATATTAATAATCTCTCCATTTAATTCCTAAGACGGCAAGCCTGTCTTGTTGCTGTTGAGAATGCGTGGCGCAAAGCTCAAGAAGTCTGTAACCTTGTTGGCCAAACCTTAGGAAAACCTTTACTAATCAAAGAAGAAGAAACAAAAGAATGGGAAGGCCAAATAGATGATCACCAGTCATCCAGACTCTCAAGTTCATTAACTGTACAACAAAAAATCAAAAGTGCAACAATACATGCTGCTTCAAAAGTATTTTTAACTTTTGAGGTAAAGGGGAAGGACAAGAAAAAAAAGCACCTTTAAAATTCCAACCAAATTATATTGTACTTGTATCTTTTTACTATTTTTATACTTTTTATAATGGTTGCTTTTGTCCTGAATATATATATATATATGTATATATATACATATATATATATATATAGTATATTAGATAAGCTATTTCTTTCCAAAATCTATAAGTCTTTTAATATAGTTTCACAGAATTCTTATGTTCACTTTCTATTTTTAAAAGACTACTCTGAAAAACACTCTTGGGAAATAAATGTATTATGTACATACTTATATACTGACAGTTCATACAAGTACATATTAATAGTTTTAAATAAGGACAAATATTGATCCTTGCATTTCATAATTCTTAAAGATATTTAAGCTAACATTTTCTCAGCCACATTTTTATATAAAACCAAATTTTATATCAAAACTAGGTTTCCATAAGTTAGTTAAATTTTTTAAATTGTAAGACAAAAGTTTTATGTATGGAAAAGAATTCTTATATTCCATCAAACCTAGTAATTTTCCACAACTAAAGATGAGTATAAATACATAATTTTAAGTGCATCCTGTAAGATATTTGATTTTGCTTTACTTAGAAGCTAAGTAATTACCCTGTTATTTTTTCATGGATGCTAACAGAAGACATGAGATTTCTGGGACAGAAACAAAGACTATTACTCATGGCACAACAAGGAGCATGAGCATCAGCACATTCTCATTGCTTCCCCTTGTCTCAAGTCCCATGGGAACAACATGAAGTGGCCATATATAATATAGCTACATATACAGTGGGCTTTTGTTGTAGGTAAAAAATACTGAGCTTGGAGGGTTCATTGTTTTTATCATGAATATTTAAACCTGCCCTTTGCCTCATTCCTTACAGATGCTCACAAACTCAATACAGAGAAATGCCCCAAGTAAAGAATACTCAAGGTCTTGCACACTTGCCACACCCAGCACTATGTGTAGGAGGGTGAAGTCTTTTGAGAGCTATCTCACATCTAACGGTTTCTTTACTTGGACTGGAGACCATTTTTGTAAGATGCAGACCAACAACCCTGACCTTAACAACTTCACAACATGAATAGAAATGGTGATAAATAATTCATAACTTTTAAGAAAGAGTGAAGTGTAATAAGAAAATGTTTTGATGCCAAAAATAAAAGATTTATTTGGATCACACTCCAACAGGGCTTCTTAGAGTGATACAAATACAAAGCAAACAATATGTATAATTTAAAATTTCCTAGTATGCACATTTTTTTTCTCTGTTGCCCAGGCTGGAGTGCAGTGGCAGGATATTGACTCATTGCAACCTCCACCTCCCAGACTCAAGTGATTCTTCTGCCTCACCCTCCCAAGTAGCTGGAATTACAGGCATATGCCACCATGGCTGGCTAATTTTTGTGTTCTTGGTAGAGACGGGGTTTCACCACATTGGCCAGGCAGGTCTCAAACACTTAACCTCATGATCCACCCACCTTGGCCTCCCAAAGTGCTGGGATTACAGGCGTGAGCCACCATGCCTGGCCCTGTACACATATTTTTAAAAATAAAATTTTAAAAAAGAAACAGTTGAAACTAATTTTAATAACATTTTATTTAACCAAATATATCAAAAATATTATTTCAGCATGCAATCAGTATTTTTTTAATTATTAATGAGATGTTTATGTTTTATATTGTCTTCAAAATCCAGTGTATATTTTTACATTACAGCACATCTCAATTTGGATGCTAAATTTTTATCAGAAATATTTGATCTGTATTTAAATATGCTAAAATGTATAGTTAAAAAAGAGACTCACATACCTAAGTTGTTTTAGCATGCTTAAAAAATCTTGTAACTGGATCAAGTATCAGTTTTTAAATTAATTAAAATTAAATGAAATTTAAAATGTAGTTTCTCAGTCACACTAGCCATATTTCAAGTACTTGAAAGCTACAAACGGCTTGTGGCTACCTTGCTCAACAGAGTAAGGTCATGCACTGAGATAATGATCGTTAAGGCCATTTGAAAGTTAACAGCAAGTATGTCTTACTGCTATTGAATTGCATGTTGTCAGGCAATCATAAGCCATGTCTGTTATGCAGCATAGGCTTTCCATTCTCTATACATCTAGGTCATAGGGTTTTTCTGTTGATAAATCTGGATGTTTATATACCAACATTACTTTCTACAATATATTCCAGTGTCCCTCTTCACCCACTTTTTAAAGTGGCCCTGACACAATTTCATTCATCTTATTGGAGTGTTGCTATGGGGGAAGAGTAGCAGCTAAGAAGAGTTTGAGTCTAACACCATTATATTCAAATCCTGACTTTACTACTGGAATGTAAGCTTCTTGAGAATGGGGATCTTGTCTGTCTTGTTCACAGTTGTGTTCCAGCCCCAGAGGTAATGTCAAGGCCAATACCAAGTATGCTCTCAAATATTTGCTGAGAAAATTTATTAGCTGGATAAAAGGCAAGATACTTAAATCTCTTTAATCTTCCTTTTCCCTTACAAATGAAAGAGACTAATAGTACTTACCTTGCAGTGTTATTATAAGGATTAAAGTTGATAAATACATGATCATGAGAACAATGCCTAACACACAGCCGTCACTCTGAAAGCGATAGCCATTATATCAACTGCAGTTTGATTATTGTCAACTCAATTAAAAGTTGGCTTTTCCAAATCCTCCATTAAGAAGAATTTTTAAATAGTCATATTGAAAATAAAGTTATCAACAAACCAATGTAACATATGTTGAATTTTTATTTCCCCCAAAAAGTTACTATCCAGTTGTACAGAGAAGTAGAATGAGGCTGTGCGTCAAGAAAAAAATTGTTCATTCTCAACAAAAAAATCACATGGGCAGTGTTTTTTAAGCTATGGGTTCGTGTTATATTTGGTTTCATCATGTTTGATTAAAAAGGCTTCCAACTTAGCATGAAATACCTAAAGACAATTTTTTTAAGTTAGCAAGCCCTTTTTAGAGTTTCCAGGAAATTTTAAAGATGTTACTTTCAAACAAAAAAAAAATCCTGTAAAATATACAATCCTATACTTTTTTATAGAAGAGCTTCGAAAATAAGTCCTTCAAAGATTGGAAAGACTTATGTGTAACATTCTGTATACTGAAGGGTAACAAATTGAATTGTCAGTTGATGGCAGTTTAATTTCTTGATATATGGCGTACACTGGAATCTTAAGATGAATTGTTTAGGGACCTGTGCCACAAAGCCTACTAGAATAAACCTATCCTAAACTTAATCCTGTTAGAATTTCCTTCTTTTGAAATTCCTGCTCCACCCCCTCCAAGAAAAAAAAAAAACCTTTCTGGAAAATAGAAAGTTATAATTTCTATATTCTGAAAGATAAAAAAAAAATCTAAATAGGATATTTGAAAAAGACCAAATATATTGTAAGCTCCTTTTTAAAAGGAAATGCTGTTAAAATAAGATTCCATATATTACTGATAATTCATAATGAATTTTAGGATTCCATTTGGTTACATACTAAAAATTAATTTTTATAGTAGCAATTTACTTTTATCAGTATTCTTATTAGACAATCAATTTGAGTTCAATGTAAATAAGTAGGACTTGGAAAAGTATTTGTAACTCAAGATGCCATGCCTCATATCATATAATTATTGTTTTGTAATATTCCTTCTCAGAAATGTGGGCTAAGGATATCCCAATTCTGCCAGACTTGTCGATAAGAATTTAATAGTGAGGAGTCTTATAGCCTATGAAAATAAAAGCATGAATTATGAGATCAAATGTGGGTGTTAATATGTGATTATCCATATTAGAAAATGGATGTAAATGCTTTATTCCAACAAAAAAGGCCTATATAAATTAGTTTAATTAAGCTAACATTTAGACATTTACTATTACATATATGATATTAGCAACCATATATTAGTGGCTCAATCAGCTCACTGCAGCCTCAAAATTCCTGGGCTAAAGAAATCCTCTCACCTCAGCCTTTTAAGCAGCTGAAATGTCAGGTGCATGTCACCAGACCTAGCTAATTTTTTATTAGAGATAAGTTCTTGCTATGTACCCCAGGCTGGTCTCAAACTCCTGACTTCAAGCAATCCTGCCTCAGCTTCCCAAAGTGCTGGATTACAGGCATGAGCCATTGCACCCAGCCCCAGATAGCTTCTACTCATAACCTGGTATGGCCTAAATTTATTTAAAATGCCTGGGTAGGCCAGGCACGTTGGCTCTTGCCTGTAATTCCAACCCTTTGGGAGGCCGAGGTAGGCAGATCACTTGAGGTCAGGAGTTTCAACCAGCCTGGCCAACACGGTGAACTCAACCACTACTAAAAATACAAAAATTAGTCAGGCATGATGGTGTGTACCTGTAATCTCCACTACCTGGGAGGCTGAGGCAGGAGAAACACTTGAACCTGGGAGGTGGAGCTTGCAGTGAACCAAGATCATGCCACTGCACTTCAGCCTGGGTGACAGAGCAAGACTCCATCTAAATACATAAATACATACATACATACAAACATATATACATACATACATAAAATGTCTGGGTATCTTACAAGACTATAGTTTACAGTGGGTAATTCAAATCAGAAACTGCTGTTCAAGACGGGTAATATTAATAGAAATATTTCAAGAAGGATTGGTTGTACTATTTTACTAGAAGAATAAAACTCTTATAAACCTGTTTATCAGGAGGATATTTCTGTTTCAGCAACTTCTGGAACCCTTCTTCAACATCCCAACCAACAGTTTCTCCCAGATAGCCATATCACCTGTGAATTATCATGAATCCCACATCAAATGAACAAATGCTGGCTTTGGACTCTGAATGTAAGTTGGTTCATCATAAGAGTGAAAAAAAAACTAAGAAGAAACATACTATATTATTTGCTGCATAGGGTTTAAGCTTTATTAGGAGGCCAGGCATGGAGGCTCACATGTATAATCCCAACACTTTGGGAGGCCAAGATGGGAGGATCACTTGAGGCCAAGAGTTTGAGACCAGCCTGGCCAACATGGCGAAACCCCATCTCTACCAAAAATACAAAAAAACAAAAGCTGGGCATGGTGGTGCATGCCTGTAATTTCAGCTACTCATAAGGCTGGGGCATGAGAATCACTTGAACCCAGGAGGCAGAGGTTACAGTGAGCTGTGATCAAGCCACTGCACTTTAGCTTGGGTGACAGTGCGAGACTGACTCAAAAAAAAAAGAGATGTATTAGGGTTTCATATGCTCAGTATAGTTAACAAGGCAATATTAGTTAACCAAAAACCAAAAATAATTTACACGGTAAGAAATGAAAAGCCCAGGTGGCAGGTGAAAGTTCTAATCTAAAATGATCCTTAAATAAGTTACTGATCCCTGAATTAAAAAAAAAAAAGAAAAAAAAAACTCCCAAATGCCATGTTGTTTACCATTTGATGGGTAGGGATCAGGCAGTAACAGTATGTGTGGGAATATATGTTCATTTTACAGAATAAGATGCTTTTTCAATGTCTTTCAAAAATAAAGATTCTGTCACTTTCCCTGCTCCTTTATTTCAAGGAATAATTTTGGGCAAAGAGTGAAAAACAGACACATAGTTTCAGTGCTTCATACAGACATAAGTTTTACACTGATCACATTAATTATGCCCTAATTATTTTTTATCTGCCCCTTCACAAGATTATAAAATCCTCAAGAGTAGAGTTATGCCAGAAAAAGTTATTTTCCCAATGTTTGAGTAATAAAAAGCTAAGGAAGAAAAAAGCTGGCTGTGAGGCTTCCTGCTTTATTCTCCAATAAGACAGATACTGTTTATAGCAAAGTACCTGAACATTGGTACACATGGAAGCAGGGATGGGAAATGCAGGACATATATTCAAACGGTGTCTGCACATTTTACAGTTCAATAGCATGCTTTTATTTCTCCAGAGCTTAGCTTTCTCCAAAAGGAGTTTGTGGCTATGCAACAACATACGTTCTGTTGTGTAAGCAAGCCTCTAAAGTTATTTCAGAACCTATGTTTATTTCAAACTTACTGGATCAGATGTAAGTGTGTATCTTCGCCCTTTACTTCCTGTTGCCACTGACGGTAATTACCACTTAAGCCACACATTCCCCACCAGCAGGCCATAACTTGCTGTCCAGAGAAAGTTGCTTTTGAAATTCTGACAGCAACCACTATAAAATTACATCTAATAAATTCAGTTAACTTATAACTTTTAATAAGTAAATGCTTAAATTGAATTTGTTCCCACAGGCATTAATTTTACTTCCAAAGGATATTTTAGAAAATCATATTTGTACTTGATAGCAACAATAAATGTGTAGCTCATACAAAACACTTATGCTTTGTTCTTCCATTGAATCAGTCATATGTTATAATTTTATTTAAAAAGAATTAGTATAACAATTCAAATTAATCAACTCTCCCCCCCCACCAAGTAATTAAATAGCATCAAAAGAAATCATTTTTAGTTTGTGTTAATTAATCATGAAAATTTCAGGGTATTATATTTTATAGGGAATAGGCAGTGATGAATAATTAATTCAAGGCTGAATGTCAACCAAATAAAATACAGAATTATTTTTAATATATGAAATATCTCACTAGCTCAGTACCTGCAAAGTAAGCATAGATTTCTTCTTTATTTTCACTGTATCTATTTCTAAAAGATAAAGATTCAGTGATACAGATTCATGTGGTCCACAAAGAAATCAATGGGAATGTGCAGCTAAAACTTTTAAAGAAAATTTACTTGCAAACCACAAAAGTCAGTATATGAAGAATGACTATATTGCTTTCATTCTGTAGAAATGTTGAGAATTTACAGTATCCCAAAATATTACTCCTCTGAAGCATTGCATTCATTTTTAAAATATTCAATTATTTAATACTTTAAAAAGTAGAAATAGAGAATTGTTCCCATAATATTAAATCCAGTGCTTTAGAAATGTTTTCTCTAAAAGATTAGACACTTCATTGACCAATATTATTTAATGATACTTCATATTGTTTAGTAATAACTCTCTAAACGTAACACTGCAACAGCCACACAAGTAAATAACTATGAGAATACCTGAAGCTCTGAGATTTGGGCAGACTTCAGCCCTCAGTCCATCATAGCACCCTTGATGACAGGAGAAGTTGAAACATCAGCAATGTCCAGAGAGCCATCCAGCTACTGCTTCTCTATGTGTGAACTAGAATATTCAGAAAGAGACAGATACATGCAGTTGAGGAAATTAATTAATATCTTGAAAAATAGCATGGCATGATAGGGTCTGTAATATTACTTCCAGAGTATATGGAGGTAGTACTTTGAATGCTAAGTTTTCAGTCTGCTACTTGTTCGAAATATATATATATATTTTTTAGATGGAGTCTCACTCCATCACCCAGGCGGGAGTGCAGTGGTGCAATCTCAGCTCACTGCAACCTCCACCTCCCAGATTCAAGCAATTCTCCTGCCTCAACCTCTCAAGTAGGTAGGACTACAGGTGTGTGCTACCACACCCAGCTAATTTTTTGTATTTTTAGTGGAAACAGGGTTTCACTGTGTTAGCCAGGTGATCTCCTGACATTGTGATCCGCCCACCTCGGCCTCCCAAAGTGCTGGGATTACAGGCATGAGCCATGGTGCCCCGCCTACAAATATTAACCATACTTTTTGTACACCCACTGATAAATGCAGTGCATCTATACCTAAGTGAATGTCAAGACTACAAAGAAAAGTAAAAATCTAAATAATGTTTTAAAAT